GTTACAGGTAATGTGAACAACATGGAAATGTAAGGGTGATCTTTCAGCTAGTAGTAGAGACAAAAACACATATCAGGTATATACTACATTAGATTGACTTTAAGTTACAGGTAATGTGAACAACATGGAAAAGTAAGAGTGATCTTTCAGCTAGCAGTAGAAACAAAAACATAATCAGGCTTTGCGACTGTAGGTAATCATTAGGGTTATCCTTTAAAATATTGACACTACAATGATAAGTGTGTAGAGTTAAAATGAATGAAACTAAACATCTGTTCAGTAATAAATGGTTTCGTGTAAAAATCTTACTTATAGATTTTATTTGGCTATATGTAATAAAATATAGGTTTGGGAATGAAAATGTGTGTGGAAAGAATTAAGCTAGTCAGAAGTGCATCTGCAAAAGGCAAGTACAAACTAGCAAGGGGGAATGTTCCCTCATGGATTTATTTTTTAACTTAGACAAGGAATTTTGCCTATTCTGATACAATGTGTGAAAGAAAAAAAATAGGAAAAAGTTAAATTAGCATGAAAATAAGCAGATTAAAGCCAACTAATAACTAACACAACCTTTATTTTCTATTATAATCTTATCAACTCTAACTCCAGTTACATTTATTTTAGAATCTTTGTTTACAATGAGTTATTATCAAAATATCAGCTTATGTTTGATAAGTCATAGATATATTTGACATTTATATGGAAGGGAGAAAGTAGATGTTGACATTTTATTTTTAGGGACAAACTCGGTTTTTGTGTTGTACTTTCTTTAAGTTAAAGTTTAATAGTGTTTAGACTTTAGTTTAAAGGTATATAGTAACATTAGTTTTTATTATTACCACCTATTAATTAGTAGACTCGTAATAACTATTAGTACTACTACTAGTAGTATAATATAACCTAGGAAAATATAAAGTTATTAAACTTTTAAGGAAAATTTAACTGAGCCACAAAAGCCTTATGCAAGTGTAGAAATAGAATAAAGACTAAAACACAGTAAATATGAAATAAGTAGGTTTAAGTTTAAATTTAGCAACAGATATTAATACTACACTGTACCTGGCGTCGGTTAACAAAACAATTCTTCTAAAAGCCTGTTATTTAAAAAACTACAACAAGGTTTCGCTTTCTTTTCTAAATTCTATGCACATCCGTAAAGTGTGGCTCAATTCTGCATGAAATAATACGATTTATCAGCTTTAGAGACGTCATAAAATTACTCATGTGACAATTACGTAATACTTACAGATGGCGCTTCTCAAAATCAAATACAGAACTGTAAACATTTATTAATTATCAATGAACGATAAAATAATATATATTATATAGCACATTCGTAATCATCTTAGAGAAATACTTTGAGTAATATCACATTATTTTCTTTCTTGGTTTAAGAGAA